TATATATATATATATATATATATATATATACATTGCTTTTGTAATTGTGTATTACTGGTTTTGGGCATATATAACAGATTTCAACTGTTAATTGTGTCTCTGGCATGTGATTTTGGGCATAATAGATGTCTGTCGGCTATCAGTTTGTCTATGGAATTTTACTTTTTTGGTTCCTTGTATTGTACAAGCCTGGATTTGTGTCCAGTTTGTTGGGTACCTTTTGGCTGCTTTGAACTATATATAAAGAAGTGTAAAACTTACGTTCTTCTGCTGGTTAGTTATATGATTTGTGCATGACCCTTTTTCTTTTTCAAGATTTGATTTGAAAGGTACTATTTAAGTGGTTAAAGTTTCAAACGCTCGTAGGAAAATGTTATAGATCTAGTAAGTGTTGACTTCGTTTCTAATAGTGCTGAACATGTTGCTACAGATTGAAAATATGAAATCAATAAATGTCTATCCATTGTGAAAAGATTTTTTTTAAGGTTTAAACATGTTTTTAAATATTTAATTTTAACTTAAATTTATTTTTAATTCTTTAAATTTAAATTTAATTTTTTAATTATTGTAATTTTAAAAAATCTTGTTTTAATATTTATATTTAAATTTTATTAGAGAATCTATCAAATATTGTCATATATAATTTACCTACTAATATCCCTATTAGTAAAAAAATTACATTAAATTTAGTTGATGGTGTATAATTATCTAAACTTATTATTTCTAGATATATTATTGATGATCCGATAAATTAAAACAAAATTTTTAAAAATTATGAAGACTGAAAATAATAGTTTTAAATTTAAAGAATAAAAATAAATATATTTTAAATTTAAAGGATTAAAAATATATTTAAATTTTTTTAATATCTATTGTAATATATATTTGAAATTTGGTTTTCATTGAATCATGTGTGATAGAAATATATATGTTTTTAATTAAATACATGATTATTTGTGAATTGTCAAAGGAGTCTATTTTACAACTTAGGGACCCATACCGATTGTCAAATTTGAGAATTTTTAAATCTAATCTGATTAATGTTAATTTAGATTGATTCAAGTTTTAATTTTTTTTAATAATTTGAATCAAACCAACATGATCATATTTGTGTTTGGTTCGGTTAGTGGTCGAGTATATAATAAAAATAAAGAAAAGTTAATGATAAATAATCTCGAGAGTCAAAGCTACAGAATTACATAATATAAAAATTAAAAATCATGTAAAATGGTATTAAGTACACTGTGAGCTGTAGATACATAAAGATCTAAAATTGAAATACAAAATCTTAAAACTAGTCATATCTAATAAGAATAAAATGGTGCTAACAATGAAGTTAACAGAGTTGTCATAGAAAAAGAATGTGGATAAGTCCTGTTTAGCTTCAATTGTGTGCCTCGTTAATCTTGATTACTACCATAAGATCCTTTATTTGCCTTTCTCTCCTTGCAACTTGGTACTTCCTAGAGTTATGTTTGTAGTTATTTAGCATCACAACTCTCTGACCACATGTGGAATGACATGCACTAAATGTTTTGAATATCTCATTAACATCTACTACAAAGTTTGCACCCCTATCACAAGGCGTAGCTACTTTGGCATTGGCACCCCATGTCCAATATACAATGATTAATGATTATGTGATTATAGTCAATCTCATTAATGCTGAAATGAATCAAGAATTTTCACCGAAGGATCTCAATTCCTCAATACCAAATATCCATTTTTCAGAGGATTTCATAATAAATCATTTTAATCAAAGGCTAATATAGAGAAATTCATCAAGCGAAATTAGTCACACATTTATATATTTAAAAAATAAGTTATATTTTTTTTTCTTCACCTGTTTCTCTTTTTATTAAATAATGACTTGAGCACATTTTTGACCTGGTTTGGTGCCGTTGACTGGTAAGTTTGGAAGGGCTTGGACATGGAGTCCTTGTTGCACAATCCACAGTCCTCACCATTCATTTTTGTACATCAAACATTAATTTGCCATCAATTACTTATTATTATTTATATTTATCTTGCACCTCCCAACAAAATGTCTGTCTATTTGCTAACTTTAAAGGACAAAAAATAAAGGTATAGGCTTCCATTTTTTTTCAGCAAAACTTGTGGTAGTACTTAGTTCATCTTGATTCATTTCTGAATTCAATTTATCTTCGTTTTTATAGTAAGTAAATAATCAGTTCTTTTGTAAATTAAAAATTTAGAGGAGGAAATGACGCTCCAATGACGGGAAAAAAAAAACTCTAACCTCAAATAGCATTTACAAAAATATTTGGAGCTTGAATCTACCACCTGCACTGCAAGATACAAAATTATGTCTTGCTTTACTCATTTAATTCCTCGAATTATTATACATGACGTTTTCTGATAAAATGTGTTCTAAAATTTAGTTTATAATTTAAGTTAAATATTTTATTTAATTATTCTATTAACTGATTTGAGCTAGTCTTATGTTTTGTGTGTAGCAAAAGGTCAATAACCAGTCTTATATTCGGTTACACTAAGTTGTGTGGTTTCTAGTTTTTTTATTGACTATAAATATGGGTTCTCTTGCTCAGTAGAATTACATCCGTGATTAAGTATATGTAATATTATGGATCCCGTACTTTAATAGATGATTTGTATTGTTTAAATCTGAATGTAAAGTTTAAAGAAATTTTATTTAATGTTGAATGTGGTATTAAATATTAGTAACAAACATAATATACATTTTGGTAGTTCTATTTATATGTGGTATTAAATATTAGGTCATATTTATAAAGAAAAGATAATGAGGTTAATGAAAAATAAATTTTTATTTCAATTAGATTTTAGTGAATGAGATATATGTTTAAATTGTATTAAAGGAAAACAAACTAAACAAATATCAAATAAGTCTTCTACAAGAAGTAATAAACTTCTAGAATTGATATACATTGATATTTGTAGACATTTTGACGTTTCATCTTTAAGCAATAAAAAGTATTTTATCACCTTTATAGAAGATTTTTTACATTATTGTTATTTATATCTTTTGCGTGAAAAAATCTCAAACAGTGGATGTTTTAAAGGTGTTCATTGATGAGTTAGAAAGACAGATAAAAAAGTGAAAGTTGTAAGGTCTAATAGAGGTAGTGAATTTTATGAAAAATCTAATGAAAGTGGACAATATTTAGGTCCATTTGCTTAGTTTTTATGAAGAAAATTAAAAAAAACTCTTGAGAAAGAGGAAGAAAGAAGTTGCGTTAGTTAATAAAACTAACTTAACTTCCATAACCTCCTTTAACTTCCATTTTTCAAATTCTCTTTTTTTAATGCCTAAAATTATCCTTTAATGAAATAAGATGGGAAGGAATTAATTTTAATAACTTTACCTTCCTTGAGTGGACATGACTCTTGGAGTGAATTTTAAGGTGAATCTCCTTTAGTCCTTAGTTAGTGTTTGAGTTAGGTAGGTGGTTGAGGGTTAAACCCTTAACCAAGCATCTAGGAAAGGTTGTGCGATTTTTTGAAGACGACCAGTAAACTAACTTCACATGTGGCTTGGTAATGCATGTCAAGGTTGTGGTATGCTCATATCCAACCGTCTCATTGCTAGCCGTGGAATTGGACTTTCTATAGTGTAAGTGATGAAGTCCAAGTAACCAAAGGAGGGACAGTTATCTCATTGGGGTGTGATCTACCTAACATTATTAGGTGCGAAAATGGTATGGTTGGATTGGTTAGGACATAATCATTTAGACTGTTCATGTTAATAGAAGATCTCCATAAATGAATGTGTGACGATGCATTGGTTGATGTAGATGTATATGATATTTATTGTTGTGTGTTCGTATGCATGTTTAGATGTCTTGTTTGACATGTGATGGATGTGATATATGTTTGCTAAGGTGAGAATAATTGCATGTATGTTGTTGTATATTGTTGTATTATATAGAATTATTTTTCTATATTTACATGTTTAATCTCTAGCTTACCCTTTTTATTTTCATGTATTTTAGACTATGATGATCAAATGACAAACCTTTTACGGGTGTTGGTGCTACTATGATGTAACATATATAGGAGTGTTTGACCAACATTAGGATGTAGGGTTATTTCTGAATGAATGTACATAAACACATATATATATTAGACTTGTTTATCTTGTGTATATGTGTGTGTATATATACATGTGATTTTATTCCTTGGTAACCTATTATAGTCTAATTATCTAGTTAGTTTTCATTGTTAATCATAATGATCCCATAAGTATAGCGATTAGGACGGATCATTATATAAAATATTCTTTATGAATTTAGTAAAAGAAAATTTAACATAATATTACATAAGAAAAAAGTCAAATGAATTCTCGTTACAATTTTCTATACATGAAATATTCATAAATTGTTCAAACTGAAATAATCTTTAAGAAGTTGTTTCTTTTTAATTTTTTTTATTTATTTTAAAACTTTCCATAGTTAATAATTCATATAATTAATATTTTATTTTATTATACCATTATTATTCCATATTCCTATAATTATTCTATTTTTATGAGAAATCTTAGGGAGAACTGGGAAGAAATAATACTTCAAAAGTTGTTAACTTTTTATTATTTGTATTCGTATTAAAGTTGTGCTCATAATTAATAAAATTAATGTTTTATTATGTTATTGTTTCAGTTTTATTTTCCTGTAATTAAATTATTTATGTGAATTTTCATTATATTTTCTTATACATGAAATATTATTTACACAAATTTTGTGAAAGAAAATTTGACATAATTTTTTTTTATTAATATTACATTAAAAACAACACATGAATTCCCGTTACAATTTCTTACACATGACATATTTATAATTTGTTCACAAGTTGTTTGGAAGAAAATAATAATGTAGAATTTTTTTCTCTTTTAATTTTTTTTATTTATTTTAACACTTTCCATAATTATTAATTAATAACTAATTTTATTAGACCATTACAGTTTTAATTTCCTATTATTAAATTTTTTATTAAAAAATTTAAGAAAAATAATATTTTGGAAGTTGTTTGGAAATAATTAATACTTCAGAAGTTGCTCATTATTATTTATTATTTATATTTATATTAAAACTGTCCATAATAAAAAAAAATTGTTTATTATGCTGTTACGATTTTAATTTCCTATAATTAATTTTTTTACGTAAATTTTCATTATAATCTTTTATACATAAAATATTTTTTACGTGGATTTTTGTGAAAGAAAATTTAGCATAATCATTCTTATTTATATCACATAAAATAAAATTATGGGAATTTCCGTTACCATTCTCGTGAAATATTCTTTACAAAAATTTGTGAAATAATTTTTTTTAGCATAATTTTATTATTTATATTTATTTTAAAATTACTCATAATTATTAATTGATATAATTAATATTTTATTATGTCATTATAGTTTCAATTTGTTTTAATTGATATTTTTTTTAGAAAATCTCTTAAAAATATATTATGATTTATGAAGAGAAATTACTATTACAGATAACTAAAAATAAAAATATTATTACATGGAGAATTTATAGTAAAGTTGTTCGCTTTATTACATGATACACACATTAATGTTATACACTACACTACGAAGAGTACAATTTACACACTAAAATCATTTTCCCTTCTTTGACAAATATTTCTCTTACAAGTATATTTTTATAATAACATATGAAATTAATCTACTATTTAATGTCATGTTTTCTTTATAAAGATAAAGTATTGCATAATTCAACATAAACTTCTATAAACTTTTATTTTTATTTATTTTATGTATATATTATTTTAATTTATTTTTTGTTGATGTTGATATTAATATTTATGCAATCTCATTAATAAACAAAATATCATATTTTCTTATTTCCATTTCCTAATGTAATGATGGTGTAAAAAAATAATATTATTAATTCATAATTTATTATTTTTTGTAATAAATATAATAGTGATTTTTTTTTCTATTGCACTTTTTTTTTATCTCTCTTATATAAAAAACACAAGAATGAAAAATATTTATATTTATGAAATAAAAAAAATTAAATACATACTCAATTTGATTTAAACAATGGTGATGATGAATAAGTCCTTGAAAGATTTTTTATGACACCTGGATACTTAAATTTTAACTTCGTTATACAAGTTAATCTTTATGTTATATTTGGTTATCAACTCTGTTAGTTTCTTGAACAATGAACAATTAAGTATTAGGTGAACATCTATTTTTTCTTTCAGTTGGTTATTCTATCCTAATTACTATTATGTAATATTTTATTACTTTCTAATCAATAATAAACACTTTGTGTTATATTTAAATAGTTTGGTCATGGGTGTTTCAATTATAATGGAAGATTGTTGTTGGGTTTCTAAAACCTTATGTAGTTTAATTTTTTTATTACTTCAATCATCCTTAATTTCTTCGTTTATTCTAATTACAAATTTATAACCCTAAATTGGATTTACCAAAATAAATGGTTGTTCAGAAAAATTTTAAGTAAGGAAATGTCAATCGAATATAGATATTTTTGTGATATTTAATGAATTGCAAAATTTATTTAGTAAGAATAGGAAGAAAAAAAACTTTGTCATAATGAGAGTGAATGAGAAGAAATAAACTATTTAAATGTCATTTTTGTTATTTTAAATTAAATTAAAAATTAAACATTATTTTATGTATCTAAATTTACTTAATCTGAATATGTTACATGTCAATTAGAAGAAAGAATAATGTAAAAAATAACTTATATAACAAAGTTAAAATTTAAGAATTTAGATATTACGATAAATCTTTCATGTAACTATCAATCACTTCTATTATCTTTTAAATGAGTATATATATTTCTTTTAGAAAAGAGACTAGCTAATCTATCATAAAAATCATTTATTATTTCTGAAATTAGTCATTTCAATACTTTTGATTAGTTATATTAAGAACCAAAAAGTCAACTCGAAGAAAAAAAAATTGTTTTGTTTGTTCATATCAAATTTAGAAATTAGAATGTTGTTTTTTCACGTCAAAAGAAGTTGGAACATTCAATTTATTTTTACATGTTGAACAATTTTAAAACTTGATGACCATAAATTGTAAATTTTAAATTAATACATTATCACAAATAATTTCGAAATAAAAACATATAACTTATTTAATTAAAACCCAATTCTAATATTATTTACAGCACAACTGGCAACAATTTAAAAAAAATTGTTATAAATTTATTTCTTAATGATTATATTATTAGTTAGAAATATCCTGATATATACATTATATCACACATTTTTTTAAAGATATTATCTATCAATATCATCCTCCTCCAATTATTGTGTACATACATGCATCTTTGAAATTAAACTATTTTTATTTTTATTTGATTGGATTTTAGCACAGCAATGACATAGACGAGGTAACAAGGTAATTTCAAAATTTCAACAAGTGAAATGGAAACAACGATGTATCATGCACTGTCACGTCAAAACAAAATTACTACAGTAGTATTTGTTGCAAGTTAGTAATAATTGTCAATGCATTTATTGCATCCACATGTCTTTTAATAACAAACATATTAATGGGGGTGTTTGGTAATTGGAGAAATGTTAACACTTTCTTTTTTAACATTTTATTTATTAAGTCGACTTTTGATTCTAATTCTATAGCATAAAATTTAATGTTAGTATTTCTTTCAAATAAAAGTCCCATGGATGTTTAAAATTGTTTATTAGAAGAAAAAAAAGAAGCTATCTTTAGAATTAAAAAAATAAGCACATTTTTCTAAAATAAGGTAAATTAAACATACACTTAACTTATGGATTATTATTACCTCGGATATTTTCAACTGCAAAACCATTATAATCAAACGTTTAAAAAGAAAAATAAACTACGAAAATGATGTTTTTTTTTTAATCGAAATGTAACACAAATTAACAACTTTAGGGGAGAAACATTAAAAAAAATCATAAATTAATTAAATTTATGTGACAAAATTGTACCAATATAAATTGAGACAAATGATTAAAAATTTGAAATTAATTCATACTTTTCCTGTAAATGTGGGTTCGATTCCTTTAATTAGACTAAAAGGAAATTCTATAATATGAAAACAAAAGTTTAAAGTTCGGTTATTGTTATTGTAAGTTTTACTGATAAAAAAATATAAATTTAAAGATATTTTTTCTTATTTACATTGATTTTATTTTATTTACATAATTACACTTAAAATAACTGGATCACCATACACCACTGTTAATGGTCATTGAATTAATATGAAGTTACCATAACTCATTTATTTTTTGTTGTTGAAAAAAACGGCCCTCATCATTGCAGAAGAGCATGGCGTAATTTTAATTTAAAAAATTACTTTCATTAAATTAAGAAAAAATATTTGAAATTAAAAGTATAAAATTAAATAAAGTTAATTAATGAAAGAAATTAAGGGAAGTTAATAATCCTTGTTCCTGAGTTTCCTGGAAGAAAAGAGGAAGGAGCATATCTCACCATTGACTCACTACGCGTTGAAATTTAAAGCTTCTTCTCCTTCCGCCAGCCAAATTCCAACGAATCCGTGGACCACAGTCTATTCGAATATAAAATTCATGGTTCACAAAAATCTTCCCTATTTCTTAATATTCAAAGGGAAATAGAAAATACAAAAACCCTTTTCACCATTTTCTGTTTTTTTTTTAGAGAGAGAAAGAAAAAAAGTTGAATATGAGAATACCGTTTGTTCCAACTTCCAGGGTCCAATTTTGATACAGCCTCTGTGTTCTTGCAACTCTTGTTTCTTATTCTTTCTTCGGTTCCTCTCTTCTTCTCTCTTTCTTTCCCCGAACAAAAATAAATAAATAAATAAATAAAAGAAAGAGAAAGAAGAAGAATGGAGGGTGAGGGTGCAGCAGTGTGGCAAGGTGCGGTTTTAGGTGGAATACTCTTCTGGCTTGTCTCTGCTTCATACCTCAACGTTACTCGCAAACTTAGATCTTTCTTCCAACCTTTGGTTTCTCGTCACGTTGAAACTGAAACCCCAATTATCCTCCAGATCCAGGTAACTCTCAAATTCACCCAAATTGGCTTCAATTGAAAGAAACCCGGATTCTTATTCCCCCAAAGTTTTAAGCTTTTTGATGTTTTTGGTTTTCTTGCTGATTCTTTCATTTTGGGGTGCAGAGCTACGGGTTTGGATTCCTTGATGCACTTTTCTCTGTGTTGTCTTGCGTTGTTTCTGTGCCCTTTTACACTGCTTTTCTCCCTCTGCTGTTCTGGGTACGTACATGTTATGTTGGTGATGTCACGAGGTTGTGAGAATTTGCTTTTGAAAAACTCACATTTGTTGGCGTTTCGGCTCTGTGTAGAGTGGTCATGGCAAATTGGCGAGGCAGATGACGTTGTTGATGGCGTTTTGTGATTATCTTGGCAACTGCATAAAGGTGTGTTGTTCACTTTCATTTAATGATTTAAATCAACTTTATATTCAGCCATTTTGTATATGTGTATGTGATCACCGCTTTTACATGCTTGTTGTGTTTGTCACTCAACAGGATGTGGTTTCAGCTCCAAGACCTGCTTCTCCACCTGTCAAGAGAGTAACTGCCACAAAAGATGAAGAAGATAATGCGTTAGAATATGGATTGCCTTCTTCTCACACACTTAACACAGTTTGCTTATCTGGGTATTTATTATTCTTTGTATTTATTTGCTTTTATTTCTAAGTCTTCCTAGTTGGCGTGGTAACGGAGACGGATTTTGTGGCATGTCCTTAGAGCGAGTGAATTGTTGTGTTATGTCATAAAGGTTCTTAGTGAGTGACAAGGTGGCTGTTGAGACGTTAGATATCTACTCTTACTGAACTGATCATTTGGCATGCCTTATAAGTCAATTAATCTTGTTACACTTGCAATTCTTCCTATATAATTTATGGTCCAAGGAAGGAGAATAAAAATTAACTGCATAAGTAAAAACATGGAAATGCATTTGCAATCATATATTTTATCTATCTTCCGTCCATGTAACTTGAATAGATGATAGTTATATTTGCCAGTTTATCTGCTGAGAAAGATGAAACAACTTCTTTTAATTCTGTGTGTATGTCATTAATGGACTTTTTCCTTGGAATGGTTGTTTATCAGTTACCTTCTACACTATGTCCTGACTCATACTGAAATTCAAGGTGCCTATGTTACTTTTCTCGGAGTTTCTCTTGCCTGCATTCTAGTGTTTCTCATTGGTTTTGGTTGGTCTTCTATCACTTTTAAATTATTAGCACCTTTCAATTTTTGGCCTATTTCAATGTAAAACAATAAAAATTATTTGGTATTTTTTGCAGGAAGAATTTATCTTGGCATGCATAGTGTGGTTGATGTTCTTGCTGGCCTTCTTATTGGACTTGTGGTCCTTGCATTTTGGCTTACTGTTGATGAATATGTAGACAGTTTTGTGATCTCAGGACCAAATGGTATTCTTACTTCTAATTAATAAATTCAGCACAGGATAGCTTTATTCTTTATAATAATCACGGTACATGTTGGTGCTCAGATGGTAGAAACTCAATTATTTGTTATGATTACCATATTAGGAGAATTAAACTCAAGGTTTTTAGGATTTTTCCCTCCCTTATCTTTTAATCATTGTTTGTTTATAAAATGATTAAAACTACTTAACTATTTATGCAGAAGCTTACCCCCTTAATTTCAGTAATCTTGGCAAGATTTCTTTGTATTCTATCTCATCGTATTGTTTTTGTTGCAGTGACATCCTTTTGGGCTGCCTTGAGCTTCCTCTTGCTTTTTGCTTATCCAACTCCCGAACTTCCAACTCCAAGCTTTGAGTTTCACACTGCTTTCAATGGTGTTGCATTAGGAATTGTAAGCAGTTTCTCACCCTTTAACATCTGCACTTGTTTCATTTTTCTTCTTTCATTATGAATGAATATACATAAGATGAAGTAATTTCTTCTTGGTATAAGGTTAAACATAATGAGTGAAAACAGGATTATGGAATATAAATCTCATTTAGAGTCATAGACCTAAAGATGTCCTTGGCTGTTTTAGTTATTTTTATTGACCAGCTCTAGACAACTTTCAAAATTGGCAGCACCAGATTAGAATTTAAAATCTGAGAGCTACTGGGGCTATATCTGATTGGGCTTGAATGGTGACTTCACTGAGTTGGATTTGTAATGGATCGTCCTTATTGGATAGAGTAGTAATGTTTAAGTGAGAATATGCTTTACATAAATTTATGCTGAGTAATTATAGAATAGAGCCAATTGCAGTTTGATATTCTCAGGTGCAAGTTTTTTCTTTTTGTGAGAGCTTTGAGCTCCTCTTTCGGTTGAATGAAACTCATCACAAGAAGTATTCTTCTTGGTTTCCTATCGCAAGCCATGTTTGAAATGTGGCTGCATACAGCCATCATTGTAATAGAATTATTTGGAGAAGTTAGAATCGAGTACTCCCCTAGGACTTGTTTTGGTAGTCCTCCAATAATCAATGTTTTGGTTAAATAAAACACTTCCTTTTAAATTTATTTGTTATTCTGTTAGGAATTTCTTCAGGGTAGAGAAAACTGCAATAAAAGAATGTTAGAGTTCGACGCTACAGTTGTGTTAAAAGATTTACTAGTAGTATTCAGGCCATAAGCAAGTGGCATGCAGAATGAAATTATATATACTTTTTTCTCCTTTATAATTTATTAATTAGGAACTATATTTTTCTCACATTTTGACATTTATGTTTATTCAGTATTCAAATTCAAATTCTTCTTTCCTTGTTAAACTTTCTAATTTTTCTCATATTGTTTTTTCATAGTCTTCAATAAACTGTAATTAGAATTAAGGAAAAGCTTTATGAAGTCCAGAGAACAAAGTATGATTATTGGTGGCTAATATAAGTCATCTCTGGAAGTTTCAGATATTATTGCTATAACTCCAGAGAAACAAGTAAAGCTTTATGAACTTGAAAATTTCTGTAGCATACTAACTGCAACATATTAGTAGATGAATAACCCATTAGATTATCGCTCCTTGTAAGAGTATTCTAAGTAGAAATCGCTGCCTCTGCCTCGGTTCTTAGCAAAGTCATTTGTGAAATGTTGAAGTATTTGATAAGCTTTTTTGACCCACAAAGTTGCAACTTTTAATTGATATTAGTTGCTAGTATGGTTGGCGATTTTCAGGAAATTATGCTGGTTTTGGAAGGGGATCCTTAAAAAATAGGTTACTTATTCAATAGGGGAATATATATATTTTTTAAGAGCAATATGAAATGGATGGAATATTTATACACACATTCTGGGGGTGGCTGCCCCATTTCAGAATTGGGCAGAGGCCTCAGTATTCAATGTGTAATATATCCTAGTTAGCGTTGTAACATTTGTTTTAATTCAATGTTCGCGTTCTTTAGGTCACTGGAGTACAGCAAACATATCATCAATTTCACCATGACAACGTTCCTCGTTTGTTCTCTACAGAAATGACTATGCCTGTATTTGTGGGAAGGATGCTCTTGGGCATACCTACTATTCTAATAGTGAAATTCTGCAGCAAGGCTCTTGCAAAGTGTTCTATTCCTGTGGTAGCAAACACCTTGGGCATCCCTATAAAATCAACCAGCTATATCCCCACATTGAATGCATCTGTAACGGGGAAGAAGTCCGAAAAGCTTAAACAAAGCTACTTGCAAAAGCTCCTTTCCCAGCACAAGGCATTCGATGTTGATACCGGAATTAGATTTGTTCAGTATGCAGGCCTTGCGTGGTCTGTAGTTGACCTAGTACCAACCATTTTTTTATATATGAGCTTGTGAAGAGATATGCTTACAATTTTGAACAGCCAGAGACAATCCTATTTCGGTCATGTATACAGTCAAATTGATATATAATGTAAGAACAATAGATAATTTCCACGCGGTGAAATCTTAACGTGACAATTTCTCAAGTCGATCCATCGAATATTTCTACAATCTTCGCGCGCCCCCAAAAATGTAAAGATTATGTTCACATTAATTCAGCTTCAGATTAATTTCATGCCTATATGTCAATCGTAGCAAGTTCAAAAAGGCTTTGTTATTCTTATTTCATGCTTTAAATTTGCAATTTTGCACTATCCTTCCTGTAACATTTCTGATGCAATTATTTTATTTTTAATTATAATAAACTCACGACATTTCCACTGTTAAATTGTGTATATGCAATTATTTAATTTTTAACTTACATCCTACAACGTATGCAGCTAACAAGTCCTGTCTAGAAAAGCAGAATTAATCTGAATAGGGGTCAAGACCCGTTAACTTTTCATCGTCAACAAAGGAATAAACAGATAGATGGCAAATAGTTATAAACGTAATTGATCTTTTAGATAAGCGTTAATGATAAGTTGAACATAATAATTCGTAAGAACAAAACTGAATCACTATTATCATGCAACTTTAACTGAAAAATGATAGAACATGACAAAAACATCCACGAGACAAAAAATCCAGTCAATATAGCTTGTAAAGCCATAAAATGGAGGTACTGAACATGAGAGAGAGGAAATAAAGACGGGAAAAACAAACAAAAAATATCCACACTTTGCTGGAACAATATGTATTCTGACAGTCATCATCTTGGCGACTTCTCCAGAAAAGGTATCCAGCAAGTTCTCGAGCGTAACAGATCAGTGGAATGTTACCTGCCTATTATACATCAAAGCAGTCTTTGGACAACCCCAAAAGCACGGAACGAGTATATCCATGGATTTAAATGCTTACAGCAATCTCATGATGAGGATGCGCAACTACAAATTAGTGCAGTAGAGGTAAACCATGATATACCAGTATGACATTCAGCAGCTACATTATAAGAAGTAATCAGGCGTTCTTCGAGTCACATCAGGCTCTCCTCTCCTAGGAGCAGGTTCAAACTGCAAGGAACATTTCAAATTTATTCAGGGGCAATCCAAGGGTCAATACTAATGTTAACATTATTTCACTGACACCAAGTAAATTAAGACAGAAAAGGACCTGGATAAATGTGTGACCCTTGCAATCATCAACCTCCAATATGGAAGCCATGTTCCCACATCGGTAACAGTAATTAGGTGCACTAAAAATGGTAACCACCTTTTGTTCCTGTTCCAACCAAAACAATGCACATATCTAAAATTTTACACCTATAATACCGAGCAAAAGAAAGAGCATGCATTAGAACAACAATTACATGAGCCCAGTTAAATCCATCCATAACCAGCTGATGAGCTCTAGCAATCAACTTAAGGCTGTTTGTGTGATTGAATTGTTCAGATATATCCTGAAAGAAATAATGTCAATTGGAATCAAAATCAAAATAATACAAAATGAATAATGGATCTCTCAATGCTTCAAAATAACATATTCAATAATGTAGAGTCAAGAAATTAGAGCTATATTTACCTGGCCAAAAGTATATCCAGCACCACGAGGAGAAATTCCCCAGCCACATCTGTCATCTGGGTCGGACCACAATAGATCACACATGGGTCCTTCATGAGGAACCTCTTGAACACGATCAAAGTTCCTAATGTTATCAAGGGTCTCAATTGAAGGTGACAGTCCACCATGCAAGCAGAATATTTCTGATTCAACCTGGAGGAGACTATATTAAATTAGTATCCGAATGATCAAAAGGCTCTAACTAAAACATATGAAAGTTCTTCAACAGTCAATCTAAACATCTTAGAGTGTGATAAAGACAAATTATCACAATTCAACTAGTCACAAACGACTAAATAATCAGACAAGTCTGTTGAGTGAAATTAGACGATAATCATGTCTAGTTTTGAAAATTACAAAGATCATTTAATGGACTATATGTTAGAAAAACATCCATATCTAGAAAATATATCATATCCATGCTTAAGCAAATTACATGTATTTGTTAAAACATACCGTTTCATCTCACAGCCTATTATTACAGTCTACTCCCTAGAAAGTCAAAACATTTTATTTTCTCAATTGAGCACAAATTTAAGCTAGTTTATCATTCGTGAAATGGATACACAGCTCAGATAAGTCGGAAGACAGTAATATAAGGAGCAATGTTAGCATACTGTTGATTTGAACTTATTGAGGAAACAGTCATATGTCATGTTTAAAGATAAGTCTGATGTAAAACAGGTGGACACCAGAGTTCTTTAAACCTCTAAAAAAAGTTAAGTACTACTGATAACTCCAATTGATTATGATATTGCAAAATGAGAATGTAATTTCTTTCAAAGGTTCCCACCATCTTCTAAATTTTCAATTTACATAATAACTAACATGAATGAATGAGATACATTTAAATCACAAACAAAACGCAAAAATAGACAAGGAAATGAGACTAACCAAAGCAGTCAATGGAAAAAAATCAAAAAGGTCTGTAAAGATCTTCCAAACACTAGCATTACCATACCTGCAAATAAATAATAAAAAAACAACCATCTCAAAAGTGAAAAAAGAAACAAGCAATCATATTGTTTAAAAGCTAGAAACCAAATGTCCTTACTCATTATGTTCTCGCTTTCAATTTAGACCAAGAATTCCACATTTAAAAGAAATACATATTCTTTACTTTTGGGGACAAAAACAGGGCAGAATTACTAATTCATTAATCATTACCTATGTTAACAAGAAATAACACTATACATCAGTATGATATTTTATAGACCCTCTATCCTTATTATAAAGCACAATTTAGAAGGAAATAATAGTCCTTTTTACAAGTCACTTTACAATTTATATAAAGCATTAATTTATTTTTCATCTTTTACCACTATTAAAGATTATGAGAACAAGTGCTTCTTATTATTATTGTATAATGAAAAGAGAATTTGAGAAATAAATGTTCTCTCTTACCTCTTAAAATCTCCAATTGTCATTTATCAATTTCATTGGTATTGGTACATAAGTTTTTATATGAAGTAATATTTTCACCTCTCCCATGAAAATTTAATGATAAGGGTAAAATTGGTATACTATGATTCAGTTAAAATCAACTAACATAACTATTTATATTGGTCCATATGATTCAGTTAAAAATGTCTTATAATAAGAACCGAAGGAGTACCATACAATTATCAAAATCACTAGTACTAAATACAACCAGATATCATACTGCTACACATCCATCAATATCTAAAACTGAATATATCTCTAACTAAAAATTACAGATCAAGAAATTACATAACACAAAATCAACAGCAAAGTTCAGATGCTCATCCCAGAACTCCTTTTCAGTACATTAAAGCAACAAGAAGCTAGCTAATCAAATCCTCAAGTTGAAATTCCAAAAGAGCATATTGCAGTGAAAAGAATTTCTGTACAGCTTATATCTAAAGAAAATTTTAGATATTCAACCATGGTAATACTAATAACAAAAATGAACATTAGTACTTAACAACATGAACTTCAATTGAAACAACTATAAGATCCTGCACAAACAATTTTTTTCTCAGGATAGAAGCATCTCATGTTTTTCACTTTTGCTCCACAGAACCTATAAATGATGGTGTTGAGAACTCACTTTCTAAGGCATTCATCATAAAATCCATATACTTGAGTAATCTGCATTAAAAAATAATAAAGGAAGAATTAGTTCATCATATAATAAACATCAAACACCTACACAAGTCTTCAAATCACAGCCAAAAATGTTCAGAAACAATAATTTATCATACAAATACGAAGCCTCCAAAACTAGCTAATTTACATGCCATTCACAAATAACTGAGTTCAGAAAGTAATTTATAGTTTTTAACGAGTTAAAACACAAACCTGCCGGCTTTCATGGTTTCCTCTAAGAATAGTAATTCGCTGAGGATACCGCACTTTCAGTGCCACAAGGAGCTGGGAATAGAACAACTAATTAATAAATATAATATAAGAAAAAAAAATAAATATCAACATAACTTCATCACACTCCACTTCCAATCTTAAAAGGCACCTTCCACAATCTAAAACAATCGTAGCATAACTGCATAAGTAAAACCTGGAGAAATTGTTCAATCCTCTAGAATATAAACAGTTGTGCATCTTTTAAACAACTGAAATGGCAAGGAACTTACTACATTGATTATCAAGATTTAGTAAAATTCTTAATGTTGCTTTAACCCTCAAACCTCAATAATCAGTAAAATTAGAATATCAATCCTGAAGCATCTCTAAAAAATTCAACTATACAGCACATTCTAAACCCAGAACTATCCGCCACTTGAGAATAGTCCCATTTTCTATTTTCATCATGATAGCAATAGAAGGGATGACTTAAACGAAGCTCACAGCTCATCCAAACTTCATTGACTACCACTTGAGAACAATTTCCCACCTGATCTGTGGTCACCCTAATGCGTGAATATAAAAAACATGTACCCCAAAGAGGTTTGAGAAAGAGAAAGAACAAATAAGTTTATCATGGTTGTACTTACTGTTACAGTCTCAACTGAATAATAACCTCGGTCCACATAATCACCCATAAACAAGTAGTTAGTATCTGGACACTGTAAACAAAACATGTACCTTTAGAATCCATACCTAAATAACCAGCAAAATATATAATCTAGACGCTGACAAAAATATATATCTTCACGTAATGCATTTTCAAAAATTATAATGTCAAGGAACTTTACAAAATATTAGGTTCAGTGATATCAATGAGTAGTTCCTAAATTTTACAATTTACTCCTCAATACCTCTGATGAACTTCAATCTTGAAAAGCTTTTTCTTTGAGAGGTCACAATTAGTTTAGTTAAGACATTCCCCAGCTGAAATAGAAGATGGAAAACAAAAAGAAATCCATAATCAGAAATTATACCTTCCCTCCAATTCGAAACAGTTCAGCAAGATCATGAAACTGCCCATGAATATCGCCACAAATTGTCACAGGGCTTTTAACAGGCTGTGGTACAGGAGAGACACCCCCAGAAAGAAAAAAAATTAGTGTTTTCTCTCCATAAGACAAGAAACTATTAACAGATGCACTGAAATACAGTGACATAATTGGTATAGGCAAACAGCTGTAATACAATAATAGCACAAGCAAATTAAGCATGTAATGAAAGAAAGATTGAAGGAATTAGATCCTCTTCCACAAAACAGGCATTAAAATTTAAGGGCGATGGCATTAGATTAATGAAACCAAATATAGGGGAAAAAATAATAAAAATGAAAATGCTAAATTTCAATAGCTCATTTCTGACTTAACAAAGGATTCATGCATAGCAGCAGTTAAGACAGCAGTGATGAAAGTAATATCAATAATCAATGTGTAAGAAACAGAAAATGGCATCATTGAAATTAAAGTCATAAGTTCAAAGACTGGAAGAAAAGGTTGCACCTGAACATTACTTTCATCCATTAAAATCTCCTTGGCCTTCTCGCATAAACCTCTGACCTACAGGCAGAGCAGAAAACACAATCATGAGTTTATTTTGTATATATTTGTTTCCCCAATGTAATAATAGTAATACCACAAGGAGTGAATGATATTAGAGATAGCTCCCCAGAAAAGGACATGAGCGCTTAAAACAAACAACACAAAGACAATCAACATAAAATGAAATGACGGCAAAACCTTTCCTAAGACAGATCACTCAGGTAGCAATGAAATCCAATCTTCAACCATAATCAGCGTTAAGTTTCAACTTATAAGTTAGAACCAAAAGCCATAGTAAGACAACACCCAATCCACTAAAACTAACATGCCAAAATATCCATGACTCTATGTAGAAAATTCTCACCAACATGTTACTATATTTAAGAAAGGACAAAAACTACATACAATTCTTTAAGTGCATTTGGTATTGTTTTCTAATCAAAACCAAAATTTCACCTCAATAACCTAACCTATGTTGACCATTAATGCAAAACTTTATTGTGCAGATTACCGAGGTGAAACTTCCAATTCTAATTAGAGAATATCATCAAATCAAATGCACCTAAGCAAGTGCATCTATGCTTTATTCTTCGAGAAATTACCTCACGTTATCTTAGGGAACTAGCAAGAGTTCACGAGAGTGTAGAACAGTTTCAGAAACAAAAAACCTACGTTATTTAAACGTGAAACCTCCAAACACTTAACATTAACATCTCTGTAACCTATAATAGGACATCGGACAATCTCCTCCGACGAAACCCGCTAATAACATACCAAAAAACCTAAAATCACGTTCACCAACCGAAAATACTATTTTATCCCCTCACAATCGCTCCGCATCAGGTCAAAACGCAACGAATCGTCGCATCTGAGTCGCCATTTTGCGAAATGAACAGACGCAGCGTTAGCACCGCTCCTATCGTGCGTGAAAAAGTAACGAGTATACGAATCGAGGATAATTGAAGACGTGCGTGACGAATTGGAAACAGATCGAAGGAAATGGAAAGGAACCTGTTGCTCGGAGAGTGGTTTGCACTGCATGAGCTGGGAGATCTGTTCATCGAGATCGTGAGAGGACTCGGAGAGCATGGAATTGGCGCCCATCGCGGCGGTGGAGAAGAGGAGCGTGGAATCTCCGGCGCCGTTGAAGTGAGTGAGGGAGAGAAGGAGCAAATAGAGAGGGCGCGTGCACAAAATGCTTGATTTGCACGGTCTCCAACAATCCCCTTTTTCTTTTTCTTTTTCTTTTTTCTTTTTCAGATTTTTTTCGGAATTTACTTGTGGAGGGAAGGACTTCACTCCCTCCAATCACATCCCGCCACGTAATCCTTTTTTTTTTTTTTACTTAAAATGAGGGGCAGTGAAATTTTTTCTTACTACTATTCATATTTTTATTATTCAACAATATTACTTTAAATTTTATTACTGAATTTTTAAAATCGAGTTCAATCTTTACGAACTTTCAATTTAGTGCAATTTTTTTATAATATTAGTCAATAAAAAAATAATCTTAAATCGACTTTTAAAACAGTTAAAAGACAAAAGATAAATATATTTTAGATTAAATATTCAATAAGTTCTATTCTTTATTCTTTAACTAAGATCTTGAAATAAAAAATGTACTTAATTTTTTATCTTCCGACAATTCATTTATACTAAAAAAAAATTCTTTAAATATATAAGGAGTAGTAGATGAGACTTTAAGTTGAGACTAAATTCGTGAATTCGCTATTTACATGGTTAGTAATTTTTTTTATTATTTTATACCGGTATTTTAAGGTTTTATCTTAGATTAATATTTGCTTCAAAAAAATCTTAGATTAATATGAAGTTTTTTTTTTAACGGTATTCATCAAATTTTGTCTTCAATTAGTTTTCCATCGATAAGTATTAATCATCTCTCCTTTAACAAAATAATTTTGGGTTTAAAAATTTAAATTATCAAAAAATATCATTCACTTTTAATTGCTTACCTTATATGTAGCTTACCAACTAATATTTTTTGAATTTTTAGATATTTGTCTAAAGTTTTTCTTGTAATAGGTGCGACAATAAGTAAGAGTTTCAACACATGTGTTTAGAGATTATAGTTATATTGGGTGAATTAAACATTTAAAGTTAGACCAAAACTACTTTTATAATATGGACTTGCATGAGTGATTTCTTTATAATGTTCATAATGCAATAACAACTACAATGTTTGCAATTACATATTGGATAATATAAATAGTGAGAAACATAGCCATTTTTAAAGATATTAACTAGGACACGTGAAAGATCATAAATCAAATTTAAACTTTCTTTGTGGATATTAGTAGTTCTCTCTACAAAACCTTAAATACGAGAGAAGTTAGAATAATAAAGTAAGAACTACCAATTTTTTTAATCGTCAAATTGAATACCGACGGTAGTTCATTAGGGAATTGAGGAAGTGCTAAGTTTGGAGGTATAATTTGTGAGCATAATGAATAATGAGTTTTAGATTTTTTGAGTTATCGTGGGGTCTTTACCAACCTCAAAGCGAAGTTATTGGGTAGCTTTCATAGGTTTTAGAAATTTTGACATGATAATATTCACAACCTTATTTACGAATCAAATTTCATTGGAAAGTTAATTAGGGAAAATGAGAATTCTTTTCAACCATATTAATTGTTTATAAAGAGGATTCGATTTTTGTTTCTTTAAATTGAATTGTTAACTTTAAACATATCCTTCGAGAAACTAATTCATGTGCAATTTTTATGGTAAAGTATGATATCACACATGACCGATCTATCAAAGTTTGGACAAACAACCTTCTCAACTTGTTTCTTTTTCGTTAGTTGATGTAAATATATTTTACATATTAGATCGTAAATTTTTTTATTTTGTTTTTACATTTTTTAAAGCATTAAAAAAACTAATCTGACTCAGACAATAAATAAGTAAAATTTAGTTAAGAATTATTTTTACCAAAACTTAACCTCAAATATTGCTCAAATAATTCAACCTTAAATTGAATACATTAATTAATTGTGCCAAAAAATTTTGTTATAAAAAAAAAAAAAAAGATTGACCAGTTAAAAATTTATTTTCATTTAATATTTTAACACAATAGTTTGTAATATAATCTTTGATTTTTTGTCAAATAAAAAAATAAGTGTTTTTTTTTTTATTTTGTAAATATTATTATAGAAAAAAGCAAGATATGCGGATTTTTTTAAAAGAAAATCGAGAGTGCTGGAAAAAAAAAACACAAAGTTCTTTTAATATAAATATTTGTTAAGTTATATTGTGGAGTATATTAAATGGCAGAAAATACTGCTAACAATTATATCTATAACCCTAACGATAATAAAGGTGATTGATTTTTTTATACACATTTTTAAAATTATTTTATCTCTTTATAACCATTTTTAACTTTCTCATATATATTTTATTTTTGAACTTCTTTCATTTTATAAGTAATCACCTACTTAATTCATAAGTAATAGTATGTATTTTTGATAATTATTTATTATTATATAATTTTATTATTTATTATTATTTTAAATAATTAACGGAATGACGGACTGTGTTTTATACGTTTGTTAATTATAATGGTAATCATTGTTAGAAGAGTTAGTACTGGTATTTGTGTAGATGACTTAAATTAAGTTTTATTTTTTTATTTTTTATTTATTTTTGTGAATGTCAAACATAGGATTCTGAGATTGTGTGCATTGGAATTAGGAATAGACTTTGTATGGGCTAGTTTATATGGCTTCGGGGCTTTCGGGCTTGGAAGTTGGAAAACCATTTGATTGTTCACAAAAATAAAATGAAAGATGTTAAACCAGCACAACCTTCATTTCCAAATTATAGTTTTGTTTTTGTAATTAATTTGTAGCAATGCTTTTATAAAATGGTCGGGTATTAAAGTTTTAATTCATTTTATTAAAGAAAATTGTTAAAAGATAACATTTATAAAAAATAATCAATTCAAACACTTAGAAATATTATTATTCCTTTTACTTTTTTTGTTTGTTTTCCTAAATTATCCTGTTTAAAAATTATTTCATTACTATTCATATATTCTAATTTTATTTATATAATTAATTACTCTACCATTTAATATTAGATATAAGTCCTAATATAAGTTTAAAAATTACCTGTTTTTCAAACTTAACATATTGTGCATATTATATGTCAATGGTTATATAAAAGTTCTATTTAAATAATAAAATATTAAATCAACTTTCACCAAAAAAAAAGAAGAAAATATTGAATGAATTTGTAATTAACAAAAAAAATATTATTTTCTTAATTTTACACCAGCCATATATTTAAATTTATTTATAATAATTTTTCACACTTTATTTTAAAAAAATATTTATTTAATTTTAAGTTAAACTTAATAGATTCAATATTAAATAAAAAAAGTTAAAGTAAATCATAATTATATATAAAAATAAAACAACAGAATGTATTTTGATCCATTAAAAAGATAATATCAATTGCAATTATTTATATTCAGCATTAGTTATTATAAATTATAATTATTAATTAAAAATTTAATATATAAAAGAGGCAACAGAATGAAAATACAACATAATATTTTAATTAAAGGAATTTTAAGAACACAAAAATTAACAGCTAGAGACTCCCAAATAACTGTTTGTTTTTTTTTTCTTCAGAACACCACTCCTTTTAAATTTTAATAGATGTAACCTTACAATGCAAAACTTTCAGACTTATCACCCTCTTTTCCCCTTTGTTTTTTAATCATGCTTTTAGCCTTCACAACATTAATTTTAATTATACATCTCAATGCTCAGACTTGTTAATGTAACTTCAATGACAATGAATCCTTAAGAGCTTCCAACAACAAACGGTAAGCTGTGAGCTGAGGAAAATGACCTTGTGTTTCAAGAATTTTGACTTTGGAATGAGAACCCAATTTTTTGTTCATGTAAGAAGTAACAGCTAGAGGAACAATAGGGTCTTTTCTGGTCTGAATTATGGTGCAAGGCACATGAACTCGTGGCAGAACCCATCTAAGGTCACTTAGAAACACTGTTTTAGCAACACTTAGTGCAACTTGTGGTTTCATTTTTAGCAGACTCTGTTCAAATTCAGCAACTGCAGAAGGATTGTTTGCACTAATAGCGTTTGGAGCAAAGGTGTGTACCCACCCTGAGAAGTTTTGCTTCATTGATTCAAATATTTTGTCTAGTTCTGATCTATTGAAACCTCCTTCGTATCCTTCTTCATCCAAGTACCTAAACAATAAAAAGATATTACTTTCTGAATGATCAAAAACAATAACAAGAAATTTCAAAGAAATTATAAATTTAATACAAGTACTTGTTTTAGTCAAAAAATGAAAAAAAGAAAAAAGAAATTTCACGTAATCTCCGAGGAACTTATATATTGTTTTTTAAAGTGTATTTTCAATATAGGGTTTAATTTTAGCACACTCTTGGTACAAAATTTAAATAGAGTAGATAGCCTATACATTTACATCAAAAAAACATTATTATGTCCAGTGATTTTGTTAATTTTTATAATATAATTATCTTAAAGTTATATCAATAACAAAAATTCTAATTAATAAAAGAAAATTATTTTTTTACAAAAAATTAATTTGTATGACAACACTTTTTTTAACTATTTTTTCATTGCATAATATATTAACAAAGAAATAAAAAAAAAAATTCTTTGGATCTTAAATTTTTTAGATTAAATTATAAATAAATTTTAATCAAAATGTTCGTGATTCAAAAGTATTTCTATAATAATAAATAAGAGCACTATTTATTTATGATGAATGTAATTAAAGATATTTTTAAAATTATGATATATATTCTATGTAAAATTATAAAAAATTTAATAATTTTTTTAAATTTGTATAAAATTAAATATTTTTTGTTTATATATAAGTTTAGAGAAAGTGTTATACAAATTATTAGTCAATATATTACTCAACATGTTTCATGAACCAAAATTATAGCAAGCATTATTTTTGACATGTGAACAAATGAATACATGTTCAAACAAAGAGATGATGACCTTGGAGAGCCAGCAAGCAGGACAAGACGTTGAAAGAGTTGTGGTTTCTTTGTTGCAGCTAAGCATCCAATCATGGCTGACATAGAATGACCCACATATATAGTTTTTTTCAAGTTGAGCTCATCAAGAAGGCAAACCAAGTCTTCAGCATATCCATCAAAACTTGAATACTTGTTTGGATTGTAAAGGGAGGAACTCACGTTTGGGGTGAAAGCCAAATCAAAAAGCACCACCTTGAAGTAGCATGCAAGGAAGGGAACAAGATAATGCCACACTGTTTGGTCTGTGCCAAATCCATGAGCTAGAATCAAGGTTTGAGTGCCATTTCCATAGAAATTGGCATTTAGGGAATGAGCTATGCCTCCACCATAACCACTACACGCTGTTGCCATGTTTGTTTAGTAAGCAATGCAAGTTAAGGAAGAAATAAAGAAATGCTTAATTTTTATGATGAAGAGTGTTGGAAACTTGGAGCCTGAATATATATAACAGCCTGCTGGTCCCAAAAATTGGAAAAACGAAAGTGTGAAAAAGATGGTCAAAAGTGCTTAATTGATAGCATTATATATGCCACTTGCATGTCACTTTCTACACAACTTCGAGAAACTTTGTATGACTCGGTTTTAATTAAGATGGGTGATTCTACTCGCAGGATTTTTTTACATTAATTTTATAACCAAGTGTGAAATATAACATCCAACCAAATGTTTAGAGTTTAATTCGTTGTAATATGAGTGTATAAAATAATTTTACATAGATGATACGTAGAATTTTTTATTTTATTTTATCACACCGATGTGTTAATTTTCCTTTATCCTTCTATGTGTATTCTTTTTTTTTTTTTCAGTTTATTAGTAAAAGTACTAAATTTTTCTTGTATATATTACTGTAATTATTGCTGATTTGAAGAACTTTTACACGCAACATAGATTGAATACAAAATTTTTCATCAATTAGAGATTATTTCATAACATGTGTATAATATGTAACTACTTTGTCAACCTATCATGATATTATGTATTAATTTTATTAATATCCACATATATATATATATATATATATATATATATATCCATGGATATATATATATATGGATAAGGAGAGGAGCTTGTTGGGGACCGGGGGAGTGAGTCATGCCTTCCCCACCCCCAACTTATAAAATTATCAAAATAAATGAGTCATTTAATTATAAATAAATGATGAATATTAAATATTTAAATGTCATGTAAGTAATAAATTATCATGTAGTTTAAGACTGTCATGATCTCAACAGATTTTTATTTGATAAATACAATGATAAAAAATTATTTTTATTATTCTAAAATTTTTCTAGATAATCTCTCCAAAAAAAAGATTTTGGTTTTCTAATTTTGAAATGCATCACTTTTTAAACTTTAAAAGTAGTTGAAATGATACTTTATAACTATTTTTAAGTGTTATTTAAATTACTTTTCAAGACCAAAAGTGATATATTTTTAATCAAAATAATTTTAAAAAATTCAAGATACTAAAATTGAAATTTTAGCTCCTTCAAGCTACGCCGCTGCATGGATCCCTTCAAAGTTCCAACTATTGGCTGAAAAAGAAAAAAGGTTACCATTTAGCCTTGACAATGACTCCACAAAGATATTGCAGATTTCTGTCTAGCTATAAAGATATCGTAATATTCATTTTTTTTCTTAATATTTTTAAAATTTAAGTATCTACTACTAATTTATATTTAATAAAATACTATCAAAACTAATAACTAATAAATATTAATTAAATCATTGCAATGTATTTATATATTTATAGAGTTAATCACCTATACACTGCTCGTGTAAAGTTTTTTTTATACTGGCAACCAATTATATTCTTTAATTGTGTCATGTCACTGTAAACACATTTACTTTTGACAATGACATAGCACAATTAAAGGATATAATTGATTGTCAGTGTAAAAAAATTTTATAGTGACAGTGTATAGATGATTAACTCATATTTATATACTATATTGTTATATATGAGAAGCATTAGAAACACATTTCTCTTAATACGCTTCTTTTTATTGGTTAAAATTAATTAAAAATTATAAAATCAGAGAAAGAAAGAAAAAATTATTAAATAAAGTGTAAAACTCATCATTTTTTTCAATAAATTTCAACTAATCAATAAGTGTGTTCAAAAAGAGTTAATTTGAGAATGTGGCCTTAACGTTTTATTAAGAAAAAATAACACTTCCTTCTATTTTTAACAGTCGTTTAAAGTTGTTATACATAAATAAAAAAATATAATAATTTTTTATATTTTTCATACAATAACTTTAATGTTTCATGTTATGTACTCAATATTTTTGTCCAATAATAAGTGTATGTTAGTTGTAAGTACAAATAAATTAAAATTTAGGTAAGATATAAAGGTATAATTGATAAAATAATAATTAATATAGTTTCAAATTTTGAAAATGACAGATAAATATAAATAATTTTTTTCTAAAAAACCAATAATTAAAAATGGAGGTAGTATATTCTTTTCATTAATTAAACTTCATATAAATTCTATTTCACAAGAATATTTATTCCTTCTTATTTAACTTAGTAATCGAAGGAAAGGAATTGGAATAGTAGAAATATGTGATCTAGGTTTAATCTTTATTTTTTTTTTAAAATCATATTTTTTTAATAGTTTTGTTATCATCAAAATTATATTAAAAACTACATGGTTTAAATTTAACATTGTGTACACTGTTCCAATTCCTTATTACTGGACTTAGTGATTCTGGTAATCGGTAATTAATCCTGTTTAAACTTTAACTATAATAATAAATAATAATAAAAACTATAGTTAAAAGAATATATGAGAAAGATTGCATTAAACAATTATTCTTGAATCAGGATTCCTGCAGTTCAAATAGACTCTGCAGCCACATCCAACATTTGAAAGTTATATTTTATTTTATCATTTAATATATGATAATTAAGTTTTTTTTGGTTAATATTATATATTTATATCTAGTGACTGCATTGAATAGACACAATATTCACATTATCACATAATAACAAGACTACTACACGTTTGGATGCGCTTCATTGGAGCAACCTATCAGTTATATTTACCAGCATTGTTAAATGACAATTTCTAAGGTGTACACCAGAAGAGTAAATCAAATATTCAAATACACAATATTTAAATTAGTATATTGATATGTTTTTTTTTATTATTATAAATTCAATTATACTCCTTATTTTATGTTCTAATTTTTAATCTATAACATTTATAATAATATATAAAGGAGATATATTCTTTTAGTGTCTATTTTTAGAAAGTTAATTATACTCTTATTTTATATTTTAATTTTTAATCTACGATGAAATAAGAAAAGACATTTATAAAAAGAAAAACTGTCTTCCCATTTTAAAATAAATGTCCACCTTTTTTTAATTTTTCATTGAGGCACATAAAGTTATTTTCTTTACTAGTGTATAATAATTTCAATATCCATAGATGAATGTAATGTGAAGTGTAATAAGCTGCATTTCGTGTGTGGTGCGGCACAAACAGTTAGGTTGCAGCCCCAATAAAAGCAGCATCAATGCAATCAACACACTTGCTGCCAACCAATTTATTATTGGAGTCTGTTCTCTTATAATTTCTTTTTTCTTTTTATTTTTTTTAGCATATTACTCATCGAATCTCTCATTAGGATAACATTTACAAGTTTTTAAATTTGATTTTTAGTGGTGCCATTGTAATTTTTTTATTGATTAAACAATCTCTTGTTTTCATCTATCAGAGTAAGCTTAATGGTTGAGAATTTACACAAAATTTTAAATTTAAACTATTATAAATGATAAAAAAAAAAAAACACTTTATACACGTCGCATATCCATAGTAATTATTATTATTCTTTGCACTTGTTTGGATAAAAATTTTCAAAGAAAAAAATAAAAATAACTTTCCATAAGTTAAAATGAATTTATGTATAGGTTAAAAAGAGTTTTTTTTAAATATAAAATAATTTTTATAAATTAGTTTATGCATAAACTGATTTTAAAATTTTAAAGAAATTAATTTAATTTAATTTTTTGTTATAAGTATTTTTAGATAAATTTATTCAAAGATAACGTGTATAAAGTTTGCGGGCCTTTTAAGTTGATTGATGTCAGCTGACAAGATCATGTTACTCATTGTTGCCGGCCTTATAATAACATGTAAATAATTATTATTCTTATCTTTGCTTTCTTGGAGGATTTAAACATGACATTTTACGATATCTACACACAATATTCCTATATAGAAATCATTTGCCGGCTTCAAACATTAAATATGGCATTACATTTTTATAATTTTATTTGATGACTGCTTCTACAACTAAGAGTCATTTATATGTGAAGAAGTCAAAGGTGATAAACGAAATACAGGTGGGAATGGAATTATGCAAGAATTGTGCAACATTTAACCAGTGACGTAGCAATAAAGTCACTCGAGATATTCGATCCTGAGAAACTTGCATAGCTTCGTATGATGTGTTTGTTACTTGATTCTTTACGTGGGTTTGGGGCCCAAAATTGGATTTCTTCTGAGTGAATTTTCTTCTTAATCGAGTGTTCGTGCAAAAGGCACTTTGATGTTTAACAAAGAATGTGATGATTGTATTTGTAGGATTTCCTCTTTTATATGGTGTCTTCTTTTAGTTTAAGGAAAGTAGAATCTTCGTATATATAAGGAATGTTGGATAGTAAAATTTTATAATCTTTTAGTCCTTAGGTTTGCAGTCCAAAGCAATGTTGGTGAGACTTATGGCATTCCTCAATTGAGACACGGCAATTCTAGAAGCGACATCACGTAGCTGTGATGTAAGCGTGCTTTAGATTCGCAAGACTACGGATTTAGATATTTTGTTATGCCGAAGATTGTCAATACATACACTTTGATTGTCAATGAAAAAGCACGAACGTAAGCCTTTTAAAGTCAAACATTCCTGCACAGGAAATGTCTACACTCCAAACCTCTCAAATAGTCAAATGATTATGGAGCATCCATTTTTTGAAAAAGCAAGAAAGAGACTCAGCAAATCTACACCAACTGGTGTGTTCCTACTTTTGCATGGATCATTTTCTTTGTTTTGTTTTGTTCTGTTTTGTTTTGTTTTGTTTTTTTTTTTTTTTTTGTGGTGGGGGATGATTTTCAACTTGACAATTAACATAAGAAATCGGGCTTAAAACTGATATTTTAAATTACAGTTACATCCAAGTGTAATGCATGAACTAAACCCCAAATTTTTAGTTCAATCCAGTTCCCATGAAATAAAAAATAATTGGCTTCTATTTCACAAGTTGAATATTAAAATTTACAATTCCAAGTACTAGAAGAAAGAGTTAAAATGGGTGATACTTTACAAACCGTTGTCTGGTGAGAGCTCTTGCTAACATCCTCCAATTAGAATTCCAGTTAAATACAGAATAATAATCTCAATATTTTATTTGCTTCATATTTCAAGTACTAGAAGAAATGTGCTATTTCATATTTGCGTACAGATTGGATTATCGTAAGGATCATTTTGTTCCCTTCTTTGTATATTTATTTTTTCTTTATGATGTGTGGAAGAGAGAGAGAAAGCATACGCACACCGTACGACATATCTCTACGCAGCAAAATTAATCTAGACAAACCGGCACCATTACAATCTACAGTAGTGAGCAATTGCAGGTCCAACGACAGAGAAAATAGCCTTTACTATAAGCAGCAACACTCTAAAAAGAAAATTCTTAAATGAGATTAATGAATAAACTATACAAGAACAAGGTCAAAGAAACATATCACACGAAAATAATTTTATTAAATATACAAAATATTTTAAAATAACTAACAAAAAGAATGCCCCTCTCCCTAATTCCACTAATATACAATTAATTGAGCCAAAGACCTTTTCCTATAGTATAAAATCTGAAAAATACAACAGATACAGAGACAAGAGACTCTGTCATGCTGACTGTGCAGCTGATGTTGACGACCAGGAACATTATCACTTGATTCTTAGCTTTGCACAGTTGATGGGGATAACATGTTCCAAGTCAGATAACACTTGAGGCAGGCATACAACTGTTGACGAACGATACTATTTAGAATTGCATATGTATGCTCTCTGTTCTGCGTTCCGTTGTAAAAAACAGTTGCAACGGGGATGAATGGTGTATTTAGTTCAGAGCATAATGAACTCGTTCAAGAAGTTGAACCACCTGATTGACAGAAACATGGGGGGCTAGGAGTGGCTTCAAACTTGGTTTTACCATATCTGGTGGCTCCGAAGACAAAATCATCTTTTGCTGCATGCTTGTCAGCTCCAGAAACTGAGTCAACATGTCACCATCAAGTATTTTGGGTACTCCAACCTGATATAAAATAGATGTAAGCAAACATGCTTGGCTACATATTCTTTTTGGGAAATAGTTGTTTCTTTTTTTAAAAAAATAAATAAATGAATGAATCTTAGGAAGCTAGTAAAATGAAGATATGAATGGCAAAATCTATTATTCCATGTAATGATTGAGTCAACCATAATCAATCAGTGTGCAATTATGTACATGCAATTATTTAAAAAGAGGGAAATGAAATGAAAATAAATTATCATAAGATAATAAAATGAAGTCCTTACCCGATTTTCGCGACTGCGAAACTCATTATGATCATTTCCAAGAACAGGCGCAGTCAAATGATGGAGAAAAAGTCTTGCTTGCACTGCTTCTAAGAGCTCATATTCTTCCCTGCACACAATAAGTGTTTCTCAGACATGTCAAAACTCAAACCCAAGCCAAAAGCCCTAGAACATAACCCTAGCCCAAAACTCATCAATCCACTAAAAGTTGAAGATAGTATTATGTCAATGCACAGCATCTAAATAGTTCAACACGATTGAAATTATGGGGATTTTAGTCTTAGAGAAAGAATTGAGAGAAGAGACTTTGTATAATATTTTATCACGAAAAAAATGTATTCCAATGTATTGATGTGTGTGTAAAACATATAACGCTAAACCTTATTTATACTAATCATAATCCTAACTATTTAGGAAAACAAATCATGAGATAAGGAAATTTGGTAACCAGTCCTAAGAGAGAATGGGAAATAGGAAAATTAATCCTACAGGATAATCTAAGATACGATTCATATATCCCAACAAACAGAAAAGTATTACGATTACAAGTATCAACAGTAATACAATCCAAGTTTGTTAACTTCCACATTTCCTAAACAAAGCAAAACACAAGGAAATGACATGCTAACATCACAAATGAGCATTACACAATCCCTCATCAGTGTGGGAATAAATATTAACTGCTACTATATTATCTTTTTATTCGTATATTCAGTTGAACTGAATCCTCGGTGGCCAATTCTATTCTCAACGGATAGCAGGAGCAAGTGAAGATTTAGATGGAACTCAAAATGTTTCTACTCACTATTTCATGTAATTTTCAAGGCTAAACAAGCAAATTAGGCAGAAATACAGATTCAGAATTGGCCTGATCTGCAAAATAAACTTTGAAGAGTACCATATTTCGGCTTAATCTACATATCTTAACATCACAATTTATAAGAAAAGCTTTTGTTTTCCCTCAAAAGTAATAAATGACTTTTTAATAAAAATATCCTATAAAAATTGTTTTTAACATGGACTGCAAGATCTTAGTATTCAATTGGCCAAGCCTAGACCGAAAATAAATCTATCTCAACCACCTTTGTGTACATGAGAACAAGTTCCAGGCAATGGCCAAACTGAACCTAACAATTATTCACCTTCATATTTGTCGAGACTCGAGAATTACAGCCAAAATAGATTGGTACCTTGATAAAGGGATGAAGATCATTATGCTTCCTAACATGGTACTGGCAATAATAGTATTTTGTAATGAATCAACATTTGTCTTGGGGCCATTGCCACCTTGCAAAACATCATCAGCTGGAAGCCTGTAAGAATAAGAGCCCTGCAATAAAATAAAAAACATAAATTGCATCTAAATTACACGTAGAAGCATATTAAAGGGGAAGAGGGGATACCGACTCCGACACAAACACCAAGACACAACAAATATCCAAAAAGTAAGACACGGAGACACGGCATGTATATGTAAGCTTTACAATTTTTATATGATAGTGGCTCTAAGAAAATGAATCATATCTCTTAAAGTTAAAACATCAAGTGAATGAGTGATTCTTATGAAGTTAAGCCTCACCATAGATAAAAAAAATGTTATAAGTATTGACTTTTTAAATTTTTTTTAATAATAGAAGTGTTAAATAAGTGTTTAGCTAAGAGCAAGAGTCAACTCACTCTCTTAGTTCATGTTTAAGTCATGTCAAAAAGGTGTTGAACGTGTGTCGGAGAGGTATCCAAACCAAAAAAAAAAAATTCGTAACATGATATAGACTGATAGACATGTGTCTAACAAGTGTCGTGTCAAAAACGTGTTACTCTGACACGACATACTGTAGATGTGTTGGTGCTTCATAAGGGATGAGTAGTTATAAATTGGCAAGTTACAAAACCCAAATCCAAAAACAATAAATGAACAATGAAAACTTATCCACGTCCTAAGAGTGAAGAAGTTAATCCGAAGTAAAGAAATGACCAAGATATCATGCCAAAACACATTTGAACTGTAATGGGAAAAACATATATCAACCATGAAGCATGAGGTAGTGCACCAGGACACATATATGGTCAGTCATTGCAAAGACTACATAAGAAGAATTTTCAAAGAGTTTAACTTCTTTATATATATTTATGAACAAACGTGTGCCTCAATGTTTCGTTAACAATTATTTTAGGATTCCAGTTCAAGTATTTGTCACTATAGCTGTATAGCATCATCTGTATAGCATCATTTCCATTATTGTTGAATCAGAAGCCAATGAATATTCACTTTTCATGCATAAATCACATAAAGGAAGAACTAAAGTTGAAGAATAAAAAGAAAACAATTAAGTTCATTTGATACTTTTGAGCCACAATCTAGCACAACTTCACAATTGCATAGCACACAAATATTATTGAACATTTTAGTGAATAGCGAGTAGTATCTGATGTAATATCAAAACTATCTCTTGCAGAGTAATTCACATCATTATGGTGATTACAGCACATTGCATCTGCACTAGGCAACTGCTGCTTCAAAGTTCAAACAAATTAAATTTCTATAAAAGTTGATGAGATCTAATGCATATTACTAACCATTCTTCCAGGATATTTAAAGGATATACCTTCTTGATGCTCATAGCTATCTCAGCCATGAAATAACCACAGCTTAACGTTAAGTTGCATTCTGTACTTGCATTGTCTGGTGCAGGTAAGCAATAACGAAATATGGTTAGAATCTTGTTTTGAGGGGGAATATAACAAATGAACAAATAGTTTTAAGCTTGCAAATGACATAAAAATAGGTTTCTTTCAAAATCTTAAACAGCATGGTCCATTGCAATATGAAACACAGGCAATACTAACATATCATCCCTATTAAACATAAAGCCATAAACATCATTAAGCATGGTACAAACTACAGAATCCACTCAAAATGAAAGATGAGTGGTACTCAAGCTGTGGAAAAAGCTAGTTACCGTACACAAACTACAATGTCTTATACCTATTCTCAAATGAATTTGTATTTTTCTTTTTTTTTTTGGTATTAATTTCACCATTAATTGGGAAGACTACTCACATTAATATTAGCAGGCATAATATTTTAATAGAATTTGTTTCGATGTTCTTCCATTGAATTTGAATTTAACAACCAGAAGTAACATAAATGGATATTTTGATTAGTAGCAACTAGCAAAACGCAGTAGTTCATATTTTGAAAACCCTGGGCCCATAGAAATTAAAACTTCAAAGGAAGACAGTAACCCTTAGGTTAGAAAGTGGCAAATAAGCAATTGAATCACACAAATAAAAGGCTTAGTTCGAGCAAACCTTCCAAATGATCTGAACATAAAACAGCAATGCTTCCTTTACGATCCGAAACAACAGCCGTATCAGCATCCATGAGAATGCAATCAGCAACTATCCTCTGTGATGGATCAGAGTAAAGTTGGACCAATTTTTTTTCTTCCTATCATGGAAGATACAAACTAAACAAGTTCAGCATACAAGATAACCTTTTCTTTCATAAAAAAGACTTTACTGAGATGGAAGAGAAAGATGCAAATGAAAGAAGAAATCCATAAAACTAAAGAAATCAATACCAAAGATAAAGGGGATATGAAGAACATGAAACATGCAATGCAGCATGCCAATGAGTTCTTCTCTTTTCACGCCTCAATCATGATATAACTTTAATACAGAAGGCAATGAAGAGAGGCATACGAGGAACAAATACAATATTTTGTTAGAAGGAAAGGAATAGAAAGGATAACTTTAATAAGTTAACCTCAATAATTGAAACCGACAACAAACAAACCTTCCTCTTTTTTCCTTTAATTTTTAGTTTGAAAAAAAAAAATTTACAATAGGGAGTCATCACCACCCACCTCATGATAAGAAAATAGAATGATACCATCACGACAATCACCAACTGCAATTCTAGTAAAATGTGCAGTCAAAGATGTTATCATGTGACGCGTCCTTCCCATAGCATACCTTCTCACTCTTTGGGGATTGTCATTAGGGAAACCACAAACATAGAACTGAATAGCACAAAAGGAACATAATGAGTATGTAAACCAAATGTAGATAATGCATACAAAACCTTCTGATTTGGAGAGAACGTAAGAAAGAATGGAACAGTAAACAAGTGACAATGAATGGACAAAAGGGAAGATATTGCAACTTACAGCATTGCCAGCAGATGCCAAGAAGTAACGATCAAGATAAGGACAGATTTTAAGTACCATTCCCTGCCACCTAGTTGCATAAGCCAATCGGAACTGCCATACTTCATTTTCATCGAGTTTGATGCCATCAGAACTATTATCATCAGGACTGCTGCCAAGACTACTGCTTGATAACTGTTCAGGAGCATATGTAACTATTTCAAGGAAAGGTGAATTTTTTTGAGATGATGACCCTGCTTTTGAACAGAATGTCATTGAACCACTATCTGAATTTTGCACATGATCAAGACAGAGAACAAGAAGTCGGCCCTTGCAACTGCAAAAAAAGCAACATGTTAGAATATGGTAATGAATATGAAGTGCATAAATTTCCATGACAACAGTATTAACATGTTAACATGTTTCACCATCATACATGCACTACAGGATTATTCAAGTAAATATAAAGATGTAAAACATCTATATTTCTATATAGATTTTAGAAAATTCAAAAGCTTAACCCCTGCCCCCTGGCACTGTGCCACTATGACATTTCCCTTAACAAGGCAGCCAAATAAAAGTTTTGATGCATGCATTCCAAAATTATCATACCTAAATTGGTGATGTAGAAAGAGAGTTTCTTGGAGGCCAAACAACTTCCTACATGCATTTATTAATCATTGCTAAACTTAGTTTGGGGAACTCAACATTGACATTTGAATGCACTCTATTGTCATTTTTATTTATTCAAACAATGATATTTGTGATGCAATATACAAGCCACAAATGCCACATATCACATTGTAAAGTATAGAAATAGGAGTATTTTAGGAGATAAGAGCTTCTATGTTTACTTTTATATGTAACCTAGATACTTGGTATAGCTAGGTTCAATGCATATTGGGACTTGTAGTATCTTAAATCTTAATTGCTCTCTTGTATATTGTTTTGGCATTAATTATCTTTGTATTACTCTTGAATATAAATATACCATTATGCTGGGTGGAAAGGAGAATGCCTGATCAGAAGAATCTAATGACCCCCTTTACAGTATGAAACTTTATTGAGGAAAAACAAAATTTTTTAACTTATGTCTTATATTGGCTGATGTAAGGGCAGTAAGGCAAGTGAGGGAGCTGGAGGTTATGGATTATTACATAAAGCTTAATTTATCAATTATACAGGGAATCTTTATTCTTAAGCATACACATTGAAATGTTGCACACTTGTGGGACTTAGCTATCACTGAAGCATGAGCCAAACTCTTCTTTTGGTGAGTTGATATGTGTAAGCTCCTTGAGAGGGAACTTGCGAGAAGCTCAATAGCAACTTAGCTCATTTTAAGTCATAAAGGTCATATGCAGTTCAGGAAAGATATGGAACCAGAAATTTGTCAATTTGATAGTAAAAAGGAAAGAAATTCCTATTAATTAGCTTGTGATATAAAACAATAGGAAAATATCAAAATAAAAATATAAGGAAAGCAAAATGTCATACCTCTCAGCTTCACCACTGGACATTATAGCTGGACCAGGAGACAGACTAGTTCCAACAACAAGCACCTGCTCACTTCCAATTCTTATTAGTTCCATGGATTTTCCTGTTTCTCCACGTTCAAGTCTAAAAGACGACAGTACTGACCCACTTAGGGGATCCACACAACATATGTCAGACAAACATGTACCACAATTCAGTTCAGTCCGCATCACAAGCAACATCTTGCTTTCATCATGATACAGGACCTTCCGTGGAGTGCCCTCTAAATGAAACTTTTGCATATTAAGTCTCTTGCTGTGGACCATCTCCACCTAAAGCATCAAGTGATAAATACAGTATAAGACAGCAACGTAGATAAGAAAAACAAAACATGTAACAAGAAATGAAAAGTGGTTATTTCTTGGCGAGAAAAAATGGCAAAATAGGGGAGAGAAATCACTCCAATGACCAAAAAACTATATGTTTCTCATTTTGCATTGACTACTGAGTATGTAATCTGAATCATATAAATAATGGAACTTATCTGTTACAGACTGAAAATCAACTAATAATATTCAGAAGACAATATCCTAGAAATGAAGAAGCAATCATCTGGTTTATAGGAATTCAAATGCAGAAAACAGTAGACAAGATAACCAAAACAAAAAGACAACAGTTTCTCCAGAGACCAGGGAATAGCACCACCGAGAACTTTTCTCCATGATTTTACATAGAATAATATTATTTGTCCAACAAATCTTATGAGCGAAAGAGAGAGAAGCATGTGATGCGATGGGTGATATGATGGACAAAGATAGAAAGAAAAGTGTTGTTGTATAAATAATGCATGTTTTACATAATGATTACCTCCCCTCAGCCCCCACCCCTTCATATATCCTCCCTCCCTCTCTTACAAATCTTCCATAACTATCCCTTCCCCACTTTCCTATTGTCAGCTGTCCATCTGCATAACTATTTCATCATTTGTCTTTCCCCAACAATTCATAATTCAGTTACTACTTACTACTGCCCCAAAAATTAGTCTAATGTCCATACTTTCCATTTCAGACCTCCTCCTGTATACATGTATTGGAGGTAAGTCCCAAGGGTGTGACATTATCCTCCTGACTCAAAAAATAGGAACAATAACTAGTAGACAGTAGACACCATTAAGAAGCAGGACCACAAAAAACCATGTTAGAAATGAAATGGGACAACCTAAAAATTATGTAAGAAATGAAATGGACACTTTTTAAATCTACAGTCTACAAGCATCTTCAATGCAGTTTTAAGTTACGAAAGAAAGTGAAACCAAATAAAGGAATAAAGAAATGTGGGAGCATGCAATGCTGTAATATGATTTTCTTACCAGATGTAAACTGTTTTCTGCAACAAATAATATTCCTTTTGGACACTCAATAGAGCGAACAGGAGTCACGTGTGTGGATGGTTGAAATGAGATGGAAGTATAGGAAAGGCTGTGTCTTGCACTATGCAACAACCAAGGCCTATCACTAAGAGCAATTATATCAGCATCAAGAGTGTCGTCCAGGGGCACCAAGAAAACTGGAGTGATGCCAATCCGACGAATGGCAATCAATTGAAGCGTGGAAGGAAGGTCATTTCTGTTGTCAAAAGCATTAGACCCAGAATTTACCAAATTTATAGAAGACAAGGCAGTATCCACCATATTTATTGGTGATGAAGGAGATGGTTCTGCCGGCCACTCAAAGCGAAGGAGCATTCCATTCCTCAATCCAACAAGAACATAATACTTATCAACAAATACAAGTCGTACATCTTGAGGTACACAACCACTTATAGCAGTCCCTATTGTATTCGTTAATGAAATTGTCCCACAAGCAACTACCGTAATTCCTCCAGCTGGTGCAAAACACCAAATTTCCACGGAAGGCCTATGCGTGCCAATAACAAAGGTTTTATTGATGTCCACTCCACTTTGAAAAGAAGAAATGCTACTATTATTTTCTGAAGTGGATGAATTTGATTTGTTTTGCTCAATTTCTTGTCCAGGGATGGAAATGCATGATAATTCATTTTGCAGTACCAAATGTTGCATTTCATAAATTTCATATTGATAAGTTGATAGCAATCTAACCCCAAGTATAAAAAGAAAACATGGGTTAGAGGTTGACACAACTATGAAATTATGCCCAACTGCCCCCAAATTGATACTCACGTTGTTGGGAGACCAAGATGTGCAAATAGGAGAGGACAAAGGGATACCTTCAGAATGAGCAGCCTTAGTGGGCAAACAAAGTTTAACAGTAGATTGGTGGATTTGAACAAGCAAACCATCAGTCACAATGCCACATGCCAAAGTACAAACATTAGGTTGGAAACCAACTGAATCTGTTACATCAGTAAAACTTAAGCCAACTGACAATATTCTGGTTTCCTCAACAAATGATAGAACTAGAAAAGAATGATGTGAATCAGTAACTTTCATTCGGACGGTCCAAGTACCAGTTACCCCCTGATATATAGAAGCAGTCCTATGTAGTTTTTCTACATTAATACCATTTCGAATAATTCTTAATGATCCCTCCGGTGCCACACCACAACAAGCAAACATTTGATCATGTTTCTCATCATGATAATCCACGACTACCATATCCAAGATGGGTGCAATGTTTTGAATAGGATTTGTATAGCATAGTCTTCCATCTTCCAATTTCAGGACCACACCATCCCCCATTTCCACAAGAGCAGCTAGATATCCACCTTCAACCCACAAAAGTGCTTTACAAGGTAGACCTTTATAGAGACACTCGGACAGATTAACTCTAGGGCCTTCGGAATCAAAAAGAACTTCCATCATAAAAAATTCCCCAGTATCTACACAGAAGATCATCCTGGGATCTTTATTACTTTCAGGTTCCCAACTCCACGAGCATACATATTTATAACCCGAATTAGCACCACCATTGTCACTGTCTATGCACATAGGATCATAATCACTCAGCTCCAACAAAGCACAGGCAGCAACACTAAAGCGTTCATCATCAACATCGTGTAGTTTACAAGAGTCTTCCACATAAGGCTGTTCTTCCATAGCATTGGGTAAAAAGTTCAAGTTAGTCTTGCAGACACAGGATGGGTTGCGATGATCTCTAAGATCCATTAAGAGTACATCACCAGCTCTGAATAGAAATGCAAGTCCCCCAGAGTTAGGAACTTCAACAATGTCATATGCTAGAGGTCCAGCTTCAACATACTGAGAAATAACAAAGATTTTACGTGCTTTAACATTCCACTCCAATAATAATAATTCATTTAGAACTGCTCCCCTCCTGTAGGGCAAAAAAATGCATGGTTTCAGTAAGTAATCATATTCACAAAAAGACAGCAGAAATAGAAGCTAAATTTCATTATAGAGCTGCCTTCAAGACTTAGAATAAACACCTGATAGATGGAAACTTATGTATCACTATACCTATTTATAATAACAGCTAGTACAGGATTATGCTCCTTTCTTTCTTGTTTGGAATCTTGTGAAATGAAGCAGATGCTCCAAATAGTACCACGTATGCTGGTTCTCTGAATGCTTCTGGAAGTATTTGTTGTTCCTTCACTTTCAGAAGGATATACAATTCTCTGGAGTTGAGTGAAAAAGATCATATAAGCATATTTCTCCAGACAAAAGAATCAATTTATCAAAAGTAGACAAATTAGCAAATACACATATGAGAATAATATATACTGTTAAAAGTAAGAACATCATGAAATTAAAGGGTAATAAAGGAAACCAACACGTTAGATCCTTCAAATGTATGTCTAGTTGGATACCATATATAGCCTATACCACCAAAAAAAACAATCCTCTATCATATTCATACATGCATTTTGCTAACACAAACATTAAGCATTTCTAAAAAGCAGGATGGTATAGTAATTTTGGACCTCATCAATGATATCACCACTGGACATTGACATAGAAAACAAAGCCAGCCGATCTTCGTATGCACTGGCAGCAATAAAACAACCACTGCAGAAAGAGAATCACAAGAATTAGTACTAGTAATATTCACAAGAAAAGCGTACCATGCTTTTTCTGTTTTGTCCAATTAACATTTCCAAATATAAAACCATTCATCAGCCTTCATCCAACAGCTTAAGGTTTTAGAAGAGTAGGACCTTGACATGTTATCCAACCTCTTAAACCATGTGGTTAAGAGTTCAATCCTTCTCGCTTCCAAACTTATAAATAAAAGTTGAATTCCAACACAAGATGGGCACAAGCATTGTCAACACTTCAAGCTCAAAGGACTCTTGCACGAAGTGCCATGCTAGATATAAAATCATTCATGAACCTTCACCTAACAGCTAAGTTTTTAAGAGAGTTGGCCATGGACAGAAGTAATCCAAAAATGCACTCTATTATGTAAGAGGAGTGCTAGGAACACACCCTCTAACACACTCTACTATTGATTAAAATTTATCAAAAACTACAAAATCAAGAGACTCATTAAATAACATGCAATCGCAAAAAAAAAAAGTGATTTTTCAATAAATTCAAGTCGATGGTAGTGTTTTGATAGCATTTCTCATTATGTAAATAAGAACATATCTTGGGCAAAAAATTATAAAAATAGATCTCTATTGTATTAGCAACACATGCCACCCATGAGTAGTTAACCGATAGTTAATTAACTATTAGGGACTGTTTTATCGGAAGGATTTAGATTTAATCCACTGATGCTTTATAAAAAGCTTTATACAATCAATGAAACATATGAAGCCAAATGTCTAAAAATTGGTTAAAACATTTTACTGGAAGTAAAGAATCTTAGTTGCAACAATATGGTGTTAAAAAAGGAAATATCAGTATAGTTGAGTTTAAAAATGAATACAACTTAATACTATAGTTTAAAATTTAGTGATAAGTGTATTACTAAGAATAAGAAATATTAGAATAGAATAAATAAATGTACTCTTTTATGTTTTCATAAGTCGTGTAGGTACAGGCTCCTTCTA